TCAGGCCTTGCTTTGGGCCAATCCCTTTTGGGTAGACTTTTGCCCACGAAGGGATGGGTAACTTCAGGTGTTTGATTTGGAAGTTATATTCTTTGTGTTCTGTATTGTATATTTACTGTATTAAAGTCCCTTTTCATTAAGTGTTTTTATTTTATAAGTTTATTTTTACATCATTTTGTACATTTTCCTTTTCATTAAGTTTTATATGTTTTGTCTTGTTGCGGCGGATGGCAGAACCCACTTAGAGCAGGCAGGTTTGGGGCTTCAGTCGTGCTCTCCTCCTGCCCTGTAACAGATTTTCTGTCCTCTAGCAGATTTGCTGTCCTATAACAGATTTTGTCCTGGAACAGATTCTGTCCTCTAACAGATTTGGGGTGCCCTGTAACAATGCCACCTTACTCCTGTCAGTAGAAAATGGTAAGGAGATACCTTTCCCGATAGGGTCCAGCATCACCTCTGCTAGGTATTTATCCTATGATTGTGAAAGCAAAGAGATTTATGTACTCCTGTGTTCACAGCAGTGTTGTCCATAATTGCCAAGTAGTAGAACCAACCCCAGTGCCCAACAACATGTGATTAGATAGACAAATTGTGGTCTATACTTAATGGAATCCTCTGCAGCTATTTAAAAAGGTAGAAACATAGGCTGCCCTGGTGGCACACAGGGTTACCTCTCAGCACTATGAAGCTATCTGAGGCATGAGTTCCATCCCAGGCCAGGGAGCTGACTCACATGGCCCACTGCTCTGCTCAACAGTATATTCCAGTGTATCTGCCTGTTCTGCACCCCCTGTCTCTAGTGAATCCTCTTACCCTCTGCGTGTCTAACTTACACCACAGCTCTTGTGTGCATAATAAATAAATCATTTTTTAAAAATACTGAAGATACACTGCTGAGGGAGGCCTGCTGCACCATGTGGGTCAGCTTCCTGGCCAGATTGAACTCAGGTCACAGCAGAGGTAGTGATGAGACTTAACCCCTGCCCTGCTTCTTCAACTTCCTTCAACAAAGATCTGTTGACTATCAGTGGGTGCAAGGCAGTGAGCCAGTGGAAAGAAGACAGAACCTGTATTTGTGAAGAAGAGAAAAAACACATAATTTATACTACATATCCACATGAAAGGAATGTTCCATAGACTTGCTGGGGTCTAGGAGAGGAACCTGGGGAAGTCTTCAATAGGCAGGCTATGAGGAAAGGATATGTGAAGACTTGTGAAATTTGAATTCAGGGTAAGCATTGCTTAGTGTATTTTCAATGTAGAGCACTTATCAGACATACAAAAAATGTTGGAAACTAATCTGGGGACATAGCTGGAGGACCTTCATTGCTAGTCTGAACCTTATTCTGTTTGTACTTGAAAGCTTGCTTTCTAAATAGTGACTTTAGGGCCCTCCCTGGTGGTGCAAGGGGCTGTCTCAGTACTATGAAGCTATCAGCAGCCCCTGCTGCACAAATTTAACCCCCAGGCCAGAGCATTCCTACATGGTAGCAGACCTCTCTTGTCTTGCCTGTTATTCCCCTCAGCAGTATATTTCAGTTGATTCACCTCCTCTGTTCCCCACTCTGTCTCTGGTGAATCCTCTAACCCCTACACCTCTGGCCTACACCCCAGTTCTTGTATTCATCAATAAATAAATCTTTTAAAAAACAAACAAAATAAACAGTGACTTTATTTCCTGATTATGAAATTAATAATAAACAGAGACTTTATTTCCTGACTATAAAATTAACAACGATGTCATCCAAATTAAATAGCTTCCAATATATAAAAAGAACAGGTCACATGTTAACAAGTCATCTGGGGCCAGGGATCGAATTTGCACTGAAGTGGCTGCAGCTAGCCTGCAGTGCTGTGTCCTGACCTGTTGCACCACCAGGGAGGGCCCCTTTTTTTGGTTTCTTTTATGAGGAGTTTTTTTTTTCTAAAGACTTATTTATTCATGCACACAGAATTGGGGCACAAGCCAGAGGTGCAGGGGCAGTGAGAGGATTCACTAGAGGCAGAGTGGGGAGCAAAATGGGCAGACCCACAAAATACACTGCTGAGGGGAGCAGCGGGGCGGGTCAGGAGAGGTCTGCTGCGCCCTGTGGATCACTTCTGGGCCAGGGCTGGGGATTGAAATCGCACTGAAGCCGCTGCCACCAGCTTGCAGTACTGTGTCCTAACCCATTGTGCCACCAGGGAGGGACCTGAGGAGGTTTTTTTAAAAAAATAAACATTGGTCGATATGTGCACAGATGGAATTAGACCACCCATTGCTTCAAAATCCATGCTTCTTGACTGCCCACTGTAACCAGTGGGTCAATGGGTGGGTGGTCAATGGGTGGACGAGGGGGCTGGAGGAGGGGACGACAGGGTCCCTATCAGAAATGATCATGGTCACTGAGCTGGGTGATGGGAGGGGAAAGACAGGGCTGGCTGCCAAAGATGCTTCAGAAGCAGAACTTGCAAGATGTTGTTGATGTTTCATTTTTTTTAAAGATTTATTTATTTATTTGTACAGAACTGGGGTACAGGCCAGAGATGCGGAGGGTGAGAGGATTCACCAGAGACAGAGTGGGGAGCAGAACAGGCAGATCGATGAAGCACTGCTGAGGGGAGCAGCGGGTGGGTCAGGAGAGGTCTGCCTCACCATGGTCACCTCCGGGGCAGGTGGGAATCGAACTCATGCGGAGGTGGCTTTCGTTTCTTAGTGCAGTGCTTTAACCCGCTGCGCCACCAGGGAGGGCCTGTTGATGTTTCATTTTTAAAGTCCTATTCCCATTGTTGCAATTTTCATTTCAACAGCTACTGTCTATATCTATGTGTCTTTTCAGGACAAATTACTGAGTTCTTTGAAAGCTCATTTCCATAATCTTATAGGTATAGAGCGTCTATCAACTTGGACTTTTGTTATTAGCCCTTCTCTCTAAAAGGAGGAGGGAGAAGATTCCTCTGTTTAAGATCATCATTGATCTATGTGGCAATCATTCTGACTGATCACTGAGAGTAGACAAGGGATTAAATACCGATTGAAAAGGAATTGCTGGTACAAGCTAAGTTTATTGACTGTGCTTAACAGGCTTCAGACCTGAGCTATGCAGAGAAACTGGCCCAAGGTCACAGTTAATAATTGGCTGAGCCCAAACTCAACCCCCAGCTGTCTGATTCCAAAGCTTGTGCTCATTTATGAGCAAAATTAGATCATCAGTTACTTACAATGTTCTGAATGTCAAATAAAGTAGAGAAAATGCCTCCAACACAACCTAGCTTATGGTTTACAAGTATACTTATACTGTGCATCTGAACCCCTCGCTTTAATATTTTAGGTGGTCAGTTTATAATTTGGTAAACAATAGGGTGAGGGTGCCTAATTAGGATAGCCAGTTCCCCAGCTGCCTTTAACTTTACTTGCCAGTGGAGGGGTCGAGGGAGGGTGCTTCTACCTCTTCTTCTAAAGACTTAGCAGTTTGCCCATAAACATTAGGGAAACCAACTATAAAATGTATGTTTATAGCAAGGGTAAAACTCTAATGGCTGAAACATGGGAGAAAACCACAGTTCCTACCTCAGTATCTTAAATTTGAAGGAAGGCATGACATTAGGCCTTTTGTGGTT